ATGATTGTTTACATGTGTCTTCATTTGTGTTATTGGAAATGATATGCCTGACCAAGACTATGGTTGAGGCCACATCTACACAGGTGATATGAGCTAGCATGAGGCCACTACATCATTGTGTGTGCCATCTTTTGGGCTGTCTGGGCTGAAGTGCTCTTTCCAATGCACAGGTCAGACCTGTTGGTATGCATTCTTAATGTTGTGTACTCTAATCACATGCAATGTAACATCACCTACATGTTGTAAGTTATAGTGATTTAATGCAGCTGGTTACATCTGTGTCAGGCTTAGTGATTAGACCTGGTGTATAACATCAAACATCTGAAATGAAAGCATCCAAACACAGTGCTCTACCACAGCAGTAACCACAGTCTGCCTGCACATCCAGATTCCTGACACCAATGATGAACTATGCAGCCGCCCAGCGCAACGCAGCGCCCATCCTGGAGGCTGTCTCAGCAGGTGCCGTGCACAGCAAGTGGCCACGCGCTGGAAGTGAGTTCGGGCACGGGCCAGCACGTGGCACTGCTGGCGCGCCACTATCCGGCGCTGCGCTGGCAGCCGACCGAGCTGGAGCCGCGCCTGCTGCTCAGCATCGACCAGCACACGGCCGGGCTGACCAACGTGCTGGCGGCGCGCCGGCTGGATGTGGCCGGCGACTGGGCCGCGCAACTGCCGCAGCTGGCCGCCGGCTCCCTCCGGCTGCTCGTCAACATCAACATGATGCACATCGCGCCGTGGTCGTGCGCGCTGGGGTGCTGGCCGGCGCCGGCCGCTCGCTGGCCGCCGGCGGCGTGCTCGTCACCTACGGCCCATACGCCAAGGACGGCACGCTCAGCCCGCAGAGCAACGTGGTGTTTGACGCACGGCTGCGTGCCGAGAACAAGGAGTGGGGCGTGCGCGACATCCCCTGCGCCAGGCGGCGGCGCCTCACGGTCTGAAGCTGCACGCCGAGGTGGACATGCCGGCCAACAACAAGCTGCTGGTCTGGAAGAAGTGCTGAGGTGGGTGGACGGCCGGTGGCTGAGCCACGCTGGTCAAGAGTGGGGGCAGGAAGCCGCTGACGGCGGACGGATCACGCTGCTGGCCTGGAATGCCGCTGGATTCCCTATCTGATGTGCTCTATGCTACCTTTGCTATGCAGTGTGTCCTGGTATCGCTGTCTTTCTTGCCAAGTTTTGTAATGGCGCCTGCGGTCCGTCTTTGGAGGAGAGGCGAGACCTATCTCGTGAATCATGGACGTGTGACAGTGTTTATTTTCAGAGCCAGGTGTAGTTGTCTACCACCCCAGCAGCTCAAGAGGTGGGCGCCAGACAATGATCAATGTGGGGCACGTGCCAAGAACGTCGGTACCGCTACAGCACCACCAGTACCGATTCGCTCCCAGCTAAACTTTTTTGTCAGTTGGCAGCTGGCCAGGCGAGGGAGGCTACATGAGAATGCCACGGCATCGTGAGACACTTCAAAATCTGTCAAAACATGTTGGTTGAACCGGAGTTGCCTTACGCGGATGCGAGTATGAACGGTTTTGCAGCAAGTGGTGCTTGGCATGGATTTGAATCCTGAACTCACCCCTGCAAGACATGCTCTCAAATCTCTGCACCAAGGAGCTGACAATATTACGGTGCCACCATGTCCGCAGCTGGTAGCGAATCGTTACCTCCGGTGTTATAGCCGTGCCTGGAGTTGTAAAACGGCGAGTTTTTTACCGGATGAAAAGCCAGCTAGTATCGAAGCGTTGGAAACCGGCTCCAATGCCAGTAGCAACCACAGCTCTCGACTGGATAGCTTGTACGTGTACGCCTGATATTGCTGTAGAGTACCCTTTGTACTGTCGGGCTCATGGTTTTGGAGAAAGGGAGGGGGTAATTGTGAGGTTTTGGTCAGTCGCATCGAAGTGGTGAACTTGTTGACTACAGAGCCTGCCGCGACTTGTGAGAGAAGCTTGATCAAAGTTGCGGTCCATCAAATACGGATTTTTTACGGATATAAGGGCATGTTTTCTTCATAGGCCGTACTACAATCTCGCCACAACCGGCATGGAGGCTGCGGCTGGATCGGGACACAAGATACCGGAACCGGTGGGGGTATAGAGGCTACGGCTGGATCGGGACACAAGATAACGGAACCGGTGGGGGTATAGAGGCTACGGCTGGATCGGGACACAAGATACTGGAACCGGTTGAGGTATAGAGGCTGCGGCTGGATCGGGACACGAGATACCGGAACCGGTGGATCTTGAGCTCACCCAGCAAGCGTGCGTCCAATGGGAAGGAGCCTTCGTGTGTCGTCAGACTATGCATCGCCATGGCGACGGTGTTCAGATCGCATCGAAGATTGATTGTTCTGTGGTGAAAGTCTGTAGTTGCCTGATTCGGCTGGTTGTTTTCCAGTGAACGCGGCAGGTTCCGTCGCGGTCAACTTTTGAAGCTAAACTCGGTCTATGCAAGGTGTCAAACATTCCAACATTCAAACATTCGGTTCGGCCTCGCGGTAGGGCTGTGCTTATTCATGTAGGCTGATGTTACAGCGCTTGTGCCGGGATGCTATTGTTAACAGCATGTATGTCATATATCAATCGCATTCTACCAACAGCTCCTGTCCCCATGAGCGGGCCGTGGGCGGTGCGGGATCAGGCGGCAACTACTGCTCTACGCAAAAACGCGCTGTGACCGTCTCTCTTCACCCTCGCCGCAAGATCACTTGCGAAAATTCTGCATTTCCTGTTCTCATACACAGGGTGTTGTTTTTTGCACTTAGAACGGCGGGGCGGGTGGTGAGTACAGTAAACATGAACCCTTTAGCAAGATTACACCCCTAATGTCCCCCACGTTCTACCTGCTTGAGTCATAACAAATGCTAGATTCAGAGGAGTAATTTCAATATATTTTGTGTATCAAGTCTTTATTGGCGCCTCCTGGTATGCTGCAGGTCGTGTGTTCGTGCCTCCTGCTATTCTAAATACGGTATTAATATGTTCACATCAAGCTCGCCTCGTTCAATCAGGTATGGACACCGAAAGGGGCTGAAGCGGCACCCCTCTTGTCTAGAGTTTAATGATACTA